TTCTTGCCTGTGACTCTTTGAATAAACCAGCACGGTTATATTTTTTATATACTCAAGTGGTCTGAGTCGTCCCTCTGAGTTCCTGGTTTGAAAGAACCGGACGAGGCTTTATAATAGAATAGAGCCTTTACTTGTCAGAGCAGAATCTCTTGTTTATGGCCCAAAATTGTCTATAGGTTCAGTAGTTAACTACACAAAATAGCAAAAAAGTATTTTAACTACTTGAATCACTATGCAAATATGAATGTACTATAGTTGAACAACTAGCTCCTGTAAATTGTAGTTAAACTACTAGTTTAATTACAGGTAGTTCACTACTCCCCAACACTGTATATAATGTATATATATATTATATACAACAAGATTATATTTTCAGTATTGCTTGTCCAAATAAGTGTCTCATAAAACAGGACTTGTAAGAGGATAATATAACACTGTATTTTATCGCTGGAAGTACTGTATGTGAGTGTGAAAGTTAAAGATGAAGTTAGTATCACATTGCTCACCACGGAGGCCAAACTGGGAGAAAGGGAGTGGTGGTGGCAGCGGTGTTGCTGGATCATTCAGTGAACACAGGTACCAGCTGACACAGCAGATGGAGAGGGCAAAATGAGGGATGCTCTGCAGCCATGGAGAAAGTCCCAATTTCTTTATGCAAGGTGGGAAAAACACACATCAGTCTCCCAACATTTATAAAAAGGATCACCTTTTCAAAAATGTGGACTTGATGATTAACTGTGTTACTTCATTTCCATGTAAAACCAACTCCCAGAAGCAAAAGGATGTTCCATGGCAGCTTTTCATGGACATGTCCCAGTTAAGCAGAGCTAAGGGGGCTTCATTAAGGACCCCTCTTAAAACAAGGAGACAAAGGAGAAACAAGTTTAAAGCTTTAGAGATGGCAGTTTATTTTCAGCTACTAGGATAGTCATAAAATAGTGTTTTATCAGGCCTAAGTCTACAGTTAAGATGCTGTAACTATAAAGGCACTCTGTAAAGCAAAGAGAAACACGATTAACTGGTAAGCCATCAGAATCATTTTACATGTGGTGTGTAACTGGATTCATCATTTTAAACTATTTTTTCTTTTTTTTCCAAGTTGAGAAATGGACTTTGGCTCCTCAGAGTCTGTCTTGTGAACTCTGGTGTGTGTTAATCATTGTGTCACTCTCCTGTGTACAAAACACACTGCCTTTCATGGCTTTTGCAGTGTAGCAAGGACCTCGTTGCTTATACAGTAGGCAGGAGCAGGACATGCTCAACTTAAGTTACTGAGCGAAAAAAATCATCATTGATACAAAAGTAGTTTGTCTAAGGAGCAGCACAGCATGTAGTGTTGTACAGGCTTGACCTAAGAACTACAGTATCAGGCTACAACTCCGGAAGAAGTTGTAATATTATTTTCTAGAAGTCACTGAATCAGCTAAATGAGTTGTCACGGGCAGTAAAGGTTATCAACTGTACCTTTGTTATAGTACATAGATAAAGAAGACAGATGTGGTTATAAAACTACACTGCTATCTGCATGTGACAGACTTAACATGCCATTCTTAACATGTTAAGAATCTTAGCCAAGACTATAAAGAAAGTTGCTGGTTGTGAATAAGTAGACTTTCAGTGGAAAGAAGTCAGGAGTGAAGTGGATGATGTAGTTTCTGGGATATTTCAGCAGATTAGGTCTAGTCATAAATTCAACAGAATCTTGCAATTTGGTGCAGGACCACAACATGAATCTGCAAGACACTTGCACATACACTCTGTGTGTGTGTGTTCTGGTAATCATCACATCGTGGGGACATCAATCTGTTTACACAGTCACGTCATGGGGACCTCTTACGGTATGGGGACCAAAAAGCTGGTCCCCATGAGGGAAACCCATATTAAATCAATACAGGAGCTGTTCTGAAGGTGCCTGTGTGATTTTTAGCATGGGCCCATAATGCACATTTTCGAGTCAGTGTGTGTTGGGTGCACAGTAGCTCCCCCTTACAGTTTCTAGCTGGTAGTGCACTCAAGGGCAAAGGTCAAAGTGTTTATTTGTCATATGCACAGTTAGAAATGTCATGTGCCATCCAGTAATGGATGGCACATGACTGGAAGGAAAGTGCATTGCAGCCTTTCACTTTTGGGTTGAGACCAGTATCAAGTCCTGTCAGGGCAACACTAAGGTACAGTCTTTGTCTCCTTCACATAGAGCTCAAAGTGTTAGGTAATATACTCATGGGTTTGTTGAAACTGAATTTGAATTTGTCCTCCTTTTCAAGATATTTCAAGAGATTGGAGCAGTGCAGAGTCTAAAAAGAATCGTCATGTACACCAGTAATGGCACAACTTGTGCTCTCGCCAAGCGGGCTCTGAGCATGATGGGAGAGGAAGTGCCTAAACATATCTTGTCATGTGTGCCCAACTGGAAAACCTGTGAAGTGCTGACCTGGCTGCAGCAGGTTGGCTTCAGTGCCTATTGTGACCGCTTCCAGGTGAACATCATTGTCATTACCATAGCTCAGTTAAATAGTAAGCCAGTGATGTGTCTGACATACTCTCATCCATCTTAATCCATAGGAACTCCAGGTGGATGGAGACCTCCTGCCCCTTAAAACCCTGTCACACAGATGCCCAGCCTGCAGGGCCCGATGTGTTCATCAGCTATCGGCGGACTACTGGTTCCCAGCTGGCCAGGTAAGACCTGACCCCACATTAGCAGAAGAGGTCAAAGGTCAAAATGTTTTATTTGTCATATGCACAGGTAGGAAATGTGTTTCCCTGTACAATGAAATTCTTACTTTGCCGTCCACATGAATGCCACAAAATACAAGTGAAATATAAAGTAAGAAATAAGACTAAAATGCTCAGACTTTTAGTTGACTGAAACTGGACTAGACTAAAAAGAGTATGAACATGACTAAAACTAATAAAAACAAATGACAGCTTCACACAAAGACTAGACTAAAACTAAAATTAAAACAGGCCGCCAAAAACAACTATAGACGATGGTTGTGGTCTTAAAGCAGGTGGGAACAATGCTCTGGCTGAGGGAGAGGTTGAAGATGATGGTCAGAACATCAGTCAGCTCGCTGGCACATGCCCTGAGAGCCCTCCCAGGGTTGTTGTCCGGTCCTGCTGCTTTGTGGGGGTTGAACTTCCTCAGGACTTTGCATACCTGGCCTGGTGAGACAGTTAGTGGAGGGGAGGTGGGGGGGTTGGGTGGTCCAGGTGTGTGTGTGCTTCCTCTCTGTGCTGTAGCTGGAGGTCTCAAAGCAGGTGTAGAAGGTGTTGAGATCATCCAGCAGGCTGTCTGTGGAGCTAATGATGCTGGTGGTGGTCCTGTAGTCTGTGATGTGCTGCACGCCTTGCCACATCCGTCTGGAGTCAGCAGTAGAATAGAAGCCATTCAGCTTCTCTCTGTACTGCCTCTTGGCCGCTGTGATGGCTTTCCTCAGCCTGTACTTCGCAGCTTTGTACTCCATCTCATTGCTTGATATGAATACAAGAGAACTGGAGTTCATCCAGAACTGATGAACTGATGAAGCCTCTAGGATGAGAGGTGAAACGTCTTCGACCTAGAAATCTAAGTCCAGTTGATTTTTAATAAGTTTTTTCAGTTTACACTTATATTGTTACAGTAAAACGCCCGGGGAGTAATTCAATGTAGAACCACCACTGATTGCCCAACTCATAAACAGGTAAAAGGAGTGTGTTTCATATACAGTACAGTGATCTGCCTCAACATTATGACCACCTGATTAATACTGCGTGCACGGCAGTCAATACAGCAGTTGGTACTTATTGACGTTACTGTTGCTGTGCCACGTGTGTAAAACGCGCACAACGCCAGCACAAATGGTGATATATAGATCCTGCAAAAACCCGCACGGCCAGTAGTGTGAATTTATGGGCGAGACTCACTATCAGCGCACACTCTGCGGTCATCACATACAAGGCGATGGGCATCATTTATATGGTTGTTGTTTGTCTCCAGGTGTATCATGTATATCAGGTCATCATCTAAACATAAACGAAACCGCTAACGGTAAAGAAAACATTTCGCCAGTTTCACTCAACGATTTCTTGCCAATTCTCGCTTCTACTGCGACAGAGAGAATTTCTATCATGGAAAACGTGAGGTTTTAACACTTTGAAAGTCTATAGTGTTTTCCATGTGTTTCTGACTTTCAGAACCCTCAGAGTTGACTGACGGTGCTAACAGGTCTTACCAACTCTCCCCATCCCTGGCTCACGGGATCCAGAAAATACACTGAAGTGGAAATCACGATTGACACATGCAGGAACAAGAGGTGCTGTGGGTTATTTCACCTGAAATATGCGTTTAAGTCCATGATATACTAACAAACCAGATGCCAGCTGGGATGCATGGTAATGATGTGACGACTTGTTCTTTGTGGGATGTGTGATTTGTAATACTAAAGCAGAATACAGCTGACATGATAAAGGCCTTCAGGAACAGAGCAGGGCCCTCCTGAAGATTATGACCCCCTGTGCCAAAATGTGGTTTTAAAACCTTCAGTATTATGTTTATTCAGGTTACCACAGACAATCTGTGGCCACATAGTACTCCAACAAACTACAACTGTACACACAGGGAGTTAGTAGGGGCCCAGTAGCTCATGGGCTGGAAGGGCAAACAGGCCTAATGCATCAGAATCAGCTTTATTGGCCAGGTGTGACGGATACATGAGGAATTTGGCTCTGGTACATCGGCTCTCAATGTGCAAACAGTAAACCAGCTTAAGGCTGTGTAATATAACAAAATAGCAGTATTAACATCAACAAACAGTGCAAACAATGCAGAAAAAGCAGTATAAACAGACAGTAAACAATGGAGACAACAATGTTCATTGAAATTAGATAAATAGGGATAAAACAGACTAAACAAACTTAAGATAAAACAAACTTAAGAACTAGAGACCTGTACAAGTCTCTATAATCTGTACGAGGTATATTTACATTGCAGCGTGTTCTTTTATGAAGAATGATCAGAGTCAATTATCACTTTTAAACATTTATTATCACAATTGAATGGACTATCGAATAAAGCAATTTACAGAGCTCTGGGTTCCATCTCTGAAGTCCTGAACCTAAACAGCAAAACCGTTCAACTCGTCTTCAGGACGAGAGGGAACGCCCACCTGCCTGAAACCCAATGTCTTATACAATTTTGAAATGTGCAAACAGTGACGTGCGGTCAGGTCAATCTTGAAAAGAAAAAAAAGTTAACCATAAAATATAATAAATGTTAATATTTGTC